ATTCCGGTCTCACGGTGGCATCTCATTCCTGTGCCCGCTCTGGAAAGCAGCCTGCAGGATCCCTGGTTGAAGCTAAACAAGCATACTGTGTAGTCTCTCCGGACATTTGCAAGACAAGTGTGCTTGTTTGTTTTATTGTGAACCAAAATGAAACTGTTAGCCCAAAGGTCACATCTCGGTCCTGCTAGAGATTGTCAGTGAATGTGTCAGTGTTTTCAGATGTTGTTAGAATTCTGAACTCGGGGCGGGAGTGGGGGGGGTGACAGTCCCCCAGCTACTGTAGGGATGTGAGGAGGTACCCTTAATTTAAAATCAGGAAAGTTGGTGGGCTGTTTTTGCCTGTTTAGGGAAGAAAGACATCCTAATATAGTTAAATCAGAACTTCTATTGTAAAAAGTAGAGTTGGCTGAAAATCTGAGGGGGTTAGCTTTCTTCTGTCACTTGGCAATTTTTTAAATAATTTCAAATTTACAAAAAAAAAAAAAAATGGGAAGAATAGACTAAACCAGAGAGTTTTTGTATTTTTTTTTTAGATTTACCAATAACTTTTTACCAGAGTTGCTTTATCATCCTATAATATATGTAAGAATGTACATATATTATTTCCCTGGTCAATTTTGTTTTATCTTTGTAATAATAATTAAGAGATTCTCACATATGTTTCTTACAGTGTCAACAGTAATTGAAAATATATTCTGAAATTGCTCCGTCTTTTCAGTGAATGTTGCTTGCCAACATTAATTTTCTTCTCTTTCCATGTAATTTAAACATCATCATATAGTTTAGCCCTTAATGAAATATTGTATTACGTACTTTCTCAGATGGCTCAGCTGCTGTCACAAAACCATTGTGAAGCCCGAACTTTGACTCTAGCGAGTGGGGGAGGCAGATATTGGTGGAAGTTGCCGGAAGGGTGATACAGGGGTCTGTGATGCAGCAGGTAGGGATGTGGACTGAGAGACTTTCAGAACTGGTGGGCAGCTTGGAGACCAGATACTAGTACAATCCTTTCATGATATAGTTGAGACTGTTGAGGTTCATAGTCATTAAATCAGTTAACTAAGGTATCTCCAAAGATCTGGAACCTAGTATACCTGAGTCTTCTGCTCCAATCTATAGTGTTTTGTTTTCCCCCTGCTTCTTTATCTTTTTATTTGTCTCTCTAGATAAATAGCAGTGTTCTCTATGGATAATGTCTCTAAATACTCCTAAGTCATCAGTTCCAAACTTTTTACTATCAAGACAGTTTTCATGCTTAAAAATTAGGAAACTTTTGAGGGGGATGAATATGTTCACCTTTGAGGTGATAGCATATGTATGTTGAAATTTATCAAACTCTGCACTTGAAATATGTGCAGCTTATTTTCTATCAATTGTACCTCAATAAAACTGTAAAATTATGAATGACCTCAAAGAACTTTTGTTTATATGGGTCATATCTGTCGGTATTTCCCAAACTAGATACTAAAATAGAGAGACTTTTGAGCTGTTGTTTTAAAATAACGACAGTAAACTCAATAAACAACAATAATTGAAAATATATTCTGAAATTGCTCTGTCTTTTCAGTGAAGCTCACTTGCCATCATTAATTTTCTTTCCATGTAATTTAAACATCGCCATACAGTTTAATCCTTAATGAAATACTGTATTATGTACTTTTGCTTTCTCAGATGGCTCAGTTGCTGTCACAAAAACATGGTGAGGCCCAAACTTTGACCCTGGCGAGTGGGGGAGGCAGCTGTTGGTGGAAGTTGCTAGAAGAGTGATACATGCTTCCCCCAAAAAAGAGTTTAGTAGCGAAGCCTGTGTTTTACATTTCTCTACATCTCTTTAATGTCTGCTGCAATAGCAGACGTTACCTGTGCGTTCAGGCCGTCACAGCTTGCTGTTTGAGTTGCAGTGGGTGAAGAAGCTTCGCTTCGCATGTGTATGTCCTTAAGGGGAGTATTTTGATAGTTTTTTCTCCCCAGGTAACTGGATATTCTTTTGATTTGATATCAAATCTTGACAGATGGTGGTTTCTTAAAGGTTGTTGCAATGTAGACTCTGAAACAATGAATTTTTGTATTCTGTTTTATTAAAAGCCCTTGTTTTATTTGCACTTGCAGTAGATCTAACCTGATAGAATTATTCTGGCTTTGACATATAGATATTACTACTTAATCTGTTGGTACTTTTAATATTTTAGTCACTTGCCTTTTCTGTTAAATGCCCCAATTTCCCAAAAATAGAAACTGGCCCCTATCTTTTCCCATTTTACTTTTATAGGAAAGCTCGGATATGTGGGGTTGTTTCCATTGCATTGTGTAAGCTGCTTTTTGTTTTGAACTTCATTTTTCATTCTTTTACTGAAATAAACGCTGGATTACAGTTATGCTAAACACATGCGCACATGCACGCGCACACACACATTTATTCTGAAGGTTGTTGCTGCTGCAAGGGAGCTTGCCTGCTCCTGCTGTGGATTTTTGAGGAGGGAATCTAGGTCAGTAGCAGTGAATGAAGATGCAGGGGCGAGCCTCTGTCAGACACACTCATTAGTGATCCCGTCAGCGGAGGCTGGCTGTTCTCAGCTCTGTTCCTGAGAGCCGCTCTGGGCTGTGCTGCAGCATCTCTGTGTGGGGTGACCAGTACCATCTGCACCTTAAAGCCAGGGGTGTGCCCCTTCCTTCTCCAGGACATGAGAGAAAAATGTACCCACTTCTCTGATGCAGAGTTGTGGGCTTTTACTGAAGAGTAAGAAATAGAAACAAAATCATTAGCCTTTTAAAGTTTATTTTAGGAATGCTAGGCTGCCCTGACCAGTGTGGCTCAGTGGGTTGGGTGACGTCCCGCAAGGTGAAAGGTCACTGGTTCGATTCCCTGCCAGGGCACATGCCTGGGTTGTGGGGTTGGTCCCCAGGCAGAGTGCGTGGAAGCAACTGATCAGTGTTTCTCTCCCTATCTTTTCTGCCTCCCTTCTCCTTGTTCAGTCAATCAATCAATCTTTTAAAAAGATGAAATGATAGGCTATTGTTTGAATTCTTTTGGGGCTCCCAATCCTTTTTATACTAAATGTAAACCCCTTACCAAGAAGTTTGGTATATTGTGTGAATTTATTAACTTAAATCATTCAGTCCAGAATAATGAAAATAAAATAATCCTCAGCTATCTAAGGTCCTCTCAGAAGATATTCCTGAAGGAGAGCACATCTAGGATAAATTATTAGGTTTCATTCATCTTCTCTTCTCTTTCCCTAAACCATTGCAAGGCAGTGAAATCAGGTTTAAATGATGCCATGAAAATGAAGGGCACCCTCGAAGGGGACAGTGTGCTCCTGTAGGCGGCCTGAGAGGGGGCCATCCTGAAGGAGGGGCAGTCCTGCCGCTCCCCATCCCGGTTTGCCTTGAGGTTAGCAGTAGTGGTATCTCATAGGGATTTTAAAAAATTGATTTGAAAGGGAGAAAAGAGGGGGAATGAATGGGAGAGAGGGAGAGAAAGAGAGAGAAACCATGATTTTGTTGCTCTTCTCATTGATGCACTCACTGGTTGCTGCCTGTACATGGCCCGGCCAGAGGCTGAACCCACAACCTTGGCGCATCAGGACAGCGCTCTAACCCACTGGGCTCCCCGGCCGTGGCCTCTCCTAGAGATTTTAACTTGCATTTCTCTGGGGACTCAGGACGATGAGCTTCTTTTCATGTGCGTATTATCCATCTATATGGTTTCTTTGGTGAAAACATCCATTGGGACACTTTGTTCATTTTAAAATTAAGTTGACTTATAATTGTGTAAGAGATTCTTTTTCAAGTCTCAGTTTTTTATTATTAGATTCAACAAAGAAGATTTTAATAAACATATAATTAGACCAAACAAAATATAGGGAAACAGAAAATAAAAACTGTACACACAGTTCATTGCAAGTAACAAAAAAGTTAAATAGCTATTTCTTCCATATTAAATGCCTAAACAGTTTTGATTAAACACTATATGTACGAATATTTAAGTTATGTTTAAATATTATGTTTTTAGTGTGGTAAGTGAACTTGTTAAAACGTATCTAATGTAGATTGTAATTATAATTGTGTTATGAGAGATTTTAATCTCTTCTGCATTCAAGTCCTTTATTAGATACATGATTTGCAAATATTTTCTCCCAGTTTTTGGCTTCTCTTTTCATTTTCTTAATGGTATCATTGAAAAGCAAAAGATTTAAATTTTTTAAATCTTATGAATTGTGAGTCGTGTTTTTGGTGACATGTCTAAGAAATCTTTGCTTAATCCAGAGTCACAGAAATTTTTCTCCTATGTTTTCTTCTGTTAAGTTTTTTTAGTTTAGTTCTTTACATTTAGGTCTTTAATCAATTGGAGTTAGTTTTTGTTTATGGTGTGAGGTAAGTATTCAGCTATTTCTGCACCATTTGTTGAAACAAATGTATTCTTTCCCCCACTGAATTATATTGTCATCTTTGTTAAAAACCAGTTGACCACCACTGTGTAGGTTTTGTTTCTGACCTTTGTTCTGTTCCATTTTATCTATTGTGTGGTCTCTACCACACAGGCTTGGTTATTGTACATTTATAGTAGCCTTTGAAATCAGAAAAACTTGCTTTTCTTTCAAATTTGTTTTGGCTTTTCTGTGTTTTTTGCATTTCCATATAAAATATGGAATGATGTTGTTGGTACCTTAAAAAAACTCTGCTGGGATTTTTAATGTAACTGCCTTTACTCTATTGGCCAGTTTGAGAATTGCCATCTGAAGAGCATGGAGCCTGCCATTCGTACACGTGGTATAGCTCCCTGTTTCTTTAGATATGGCCTTTTTTTTTTTTTTTTTTTTAATTCCAGTGACTTGAAATGATGCTTTCGACAATTTTGTCCAATTTAAAGTTTTTGTCAAAGGCACTAGCAGGTATGATTGTGTTATATTGTACTAGCTGTAATGCTTAACAGAAAAAAACTCTAGTGGAAGGAGAAACAGTGGTACTTTGTAACTTTTGTATCATGTTTCTCTTTGCAGGGTCTCCAACTGAATTCCTTGAAGAGAAAATGGCCTACCAGGGGTATCAGAACAACCAGAGCTGGCCAGAAAATACAAACTTTTGCTTTGAACCCGAGCAAGTGATGAATCCTCTCCAGGCTGGTAAGTGCAGGCTTGTCTGTGACTGCCGAATGCGAGCTATGACATAAGCGTGAGAAAGCCACAGCCACTACTCAGATAAAGCATTTTAGCCTAAATATCGCTTGTAAAGCACAGTCAAGGTGCGATTGTTAACCTCTGGACATTTAGGTGACCCTCATTCCTCTCCGTTTATCTCGTCCTCTTAGGCACATGTGTCTCTGGTTCTCACCCTTTCAAAACCTGTTTTGAGTAAATTAACGGAAATTCATATTCACCGAAACTTAATTCTTCCAAAAGAAATTATTATAATAATAGCACTATTTGTTTTTCCTTTTTGTTGAATGTTTTGGGGTGATGCTGGTTAACAAAATTGTACAGGTTTCAGGCGCACAGCCCCGCGGCACACGGTCTGTGCGCTGCGTCGTGCATTCGCCGCCCCATGGGGAGTCTGCGTGCGACAGCACCACTGGTTGAAGGCCGATCGGCGCCAGGCACAGTGCTGCAGGCTTTATAGACATATTGTATGTGTTTTACCTAACTCTGCCAGCTATATATTGTCCTTATTTGACAGACTAGAAAACCAGGACTCACACTGAGTTTTTTATAAATTCAGATTGATCTATGGAGACAAAAAGGCTCCTGGGGTTGTCGAGACCTGGAAGTGGCGGAAGGTGGGGCTTGCAGAAGGGCCTCCAAGCAGCAGCTGCAGGGCCTCCATGTCAGAGTTAACCAGCTTGAGAGCTCAAGTTATTGTTTGCACTCATGTATGTTTGTTTGTTTTTTTGACCATCAAACTTATAACATACTCAAAGCTAGTTTCGAATTAGTGAATATTTATTGATTTCTTACCAGGTACGGTGACATCATCTCAATTTAACGTACTATTGACAACGCACGTGTAACTAATCAGTATTCATTGGGTAATAAGGAATGCTTTCTTTGGAGTTGTATTCAGTGGGATTGAGTTTTGACCCCTTCTTTATTCCAGATCCCTTTAAGATGCACCATGATGACCACCTGGAAGATTTGCTCTCTTTCCCCGGTGCACCAACCAGTGCTCCAGCCTTTACACAACAGAACGATCCCCTGAAAGACAGTTATGGTAGGACTTCTCCAGCTGGGTTTACTCCTTAACTTGAGACAATGTGGCCTTTACCCCATCACCTTTGAAGTAAACCACTAAACAAGCTCATGCTTCGGGATTCTGGCTGGGACAGCGCGCTTTCCAGATCAGTCATAGGAGAGACCTCATTTGGGCTCTCCGGGCTGCTCACAGGCTGTCCTAGGGTCTTGAGTCCTATATCTGATGGCCAGATTCTGTCTCCACGTGTATACTACCTCATGGCCCGGGGCAAGTTTCGTCCTCCCTGCCTTTGGTTTCTTTATCTATAAAATGGGGCCAACAGCAGTTCCTACCTGAAAGGTGCAGTGATGGTTAAATTACACAGAAGCACTTCACACAGCATACATTACATAGTGAGCATTAACAGATCTAGTTAGAAATTAGTAGTATCCTCATTTCTACTTTTGTATAACTTTTAACATGAGTGCGGCCAGGATATTGTAGGTGAAACAAAACTTGACTTCTACTCATCTTAGGTTTTTAGCTGGACTCTAACAAAAAGATTAGCAAGAGAACAGTCTATTAACACATGTAGCATACATCACACAAAAGGAAAGGAACTCAAGGTGGCTGCTTAGACTTTCTGTTTCTGTAGCATCTTCAACAACAACAAAAAACCCCCAATAAATGTGTAGAGGAATGACAGGACAAAGAAAAGCAGTTTTAGGCTTCCAAGAGCGGAAGCCTGGGAAGGGACGTGCACAGGAGGGAACTAGTAGATTTGTGTGCAGGTTGCTCTCGTGCACTGACTGGGCTGGTAAGAATTTCATCTCCAGTAAAAGGAGAATTTATATCCTGCCTCCAGGCAAAGAGAGGGGAGCTTTTTTGGGGGTTTGCTTCTACTTAATTGCCTTCAGCTCAAAATAATTTTTCAGTCGAAGAGGCATATTTTGGGGTGACATATTCTGGTACCTCTCGGTACCCAGCATCAGTAAGTTCCACTTCAAACAATGTGCATAATTCTGTATTTGTAAATACCTGGCTAATAATGTTTCACGTAGGCTTTCTTTGGACTCTCGGGAGAAGGATATCAAATGAATTGACTTTGATGCTATCCATCTAGTCTCCTGATACTTTGATTTTGGCTTTGACTCCTGTTTTTTTCCAGCTCACTAGCTAATGAGTCATTTAGTTGCATTGACTTCTTTCTTTACAGCACCTTTCTTCTCTCACTTGATGCTCCCTCTGCTTTTCCCCAGTGAAAAACCCTGACTTTTCATATCTAGACCACCTGAGTAATTTTCTAACAGAATTCCTGCTCCCGTCTGTAAAACTTATTCTGAGTAGACCGGCGATATTGATCACCCTCAGTCCCTGTTCTGAATTTGTCATCTCATTCTTCTGATGAAGACCTTCAGGCACCTTTTCCTTCCTTTCTTTCTTTCTTTCTTTCTTTCTTTCTTTCTTTCTTTCTTTCTTTCTTTCTTTTTTGGTCTCTTGAAGTCTAAACTTCTCTCACTTTCCAGAATTTTCCCCCTTTGTTTGTTTGTTGTAATTTTATTTTCCCCTGCTGGTATGCAAGCTCTGTTTGAATCAGACAATCTCAGTCTAAGAAACATTCTTGTCCTGTTGGCATCTTCATACCTTTTTTTCTTTTTTTGGCTCAATGTTCTCCATCCTTGAAATGGACTATTCTCCTCTCTTTTCCTGCTCTTGTTTCTCCTCTGAAGCCTTTTGTGACTATTCTGGGTCTTGTGGTTGTTTTTAAACTCTTATGTCACCTAGTTCATAATACATGTTTTGTATCTTATTTATGTGAAAGATCTTGCCTTTCTAGCTAAATTGTAATAATCTTAATGGCAAGGGGTTATTAAATCCTCTATTAAGTCTAGCAGTGAACAGCATAATAATCCTTTGACATTGTTTAGTTCTTATAATTTACAAAGCATTACCACAAAATTGTCTTCTAATGTTGGAAAGGTAGATATTAATCTCTTTTCATGGGTGAGAAAATTAAAATCCACAATTCCTTACTATACATTTTGATGTATTTGTGATGTTGGAGCTAGAGTTCAATCTTGGGTTTTCGAATCTTTGTAATAAACTCTAGAAGGTTGGTATATGCACTACAGGGATATGGTGATACAACACAGACTGTTCATTAGCCATAAACTGGAGAATGTCAGCAGTATTTAATTTAAAACTTTCTTGCTTTGTTTTTCATCGGTCCTTAGGTCTGCATCTTTATGGAAATACATAAAGCTTATTTTAAATATCAGATGCCTTTCCCCCCAATGTTGACTGAGTTTTAAACATATGTTTGTTTGTTTCAAATTAGATTTGTTTCCCTGCGACACATTTGCTCCTGCAGTGGTTGTACCTCAGATCTGTCCTGTGGGACCCCCAAACTTTCCCCATGCGGGGGCCTTCATTTCCCCGGAGGCCACACAATCTCTGCAGTTCATAACAGGTAAGTCATTAGAACCTCTCTTTATCAGTTTGTGCTTACAGTATCAATAATCAGTAGAAGTCGTCAGATGTATTTTTTAGCAGCGTACAGCACTATAGATAAAAATGTTAGAATGATCACCAATGTTCTTAAACTTTTTTACTGATTTTACAGCTAGAGGAATGAAGTTGTAGTTGAGATATAAGACTTGGGATTAATGGGCAGAGCAAATCCCTTTTTAATTCAGTGCAGATTTAAACTTCTGGGGCTCCACAGGTCCCCTTTCTGACACTAACTGCGTTGTGTGTTGTTGTTTGTTTTTTTTAATCTTGGTTTTTTCCTCTCTCCTTTGCCTTTTCTCCTCCACTACTTGTTCTCCTAGTAGCCTATCTTTCTAAGTATTGGGACTGTCAGAGTAGGTACAGATGCATTAATTGGATGACTTCTTTGTTATGTCTAGGGTGTTAGAGTCACAAAAAATCAGGTATTTCTGTGCTTTCAGAAAGTGTGTTTTGAATGCAGAGCTACGAGCAGACAGTGATGGGTCCTAAATTTCCAACATACTTCCCTTAGGGCCAACCGAGGGGGTAGAAATGGCATCAGAAGAGAGGGCACCAACAGAAGCATTGGAGATAATGACGGGACTGAAGGCTGCTGACATGGCACCATCTAGAGAAACAGAGGTGACCCTGGCTAAAGACATGACACCGATCACAGAAACAGAGGTGGCGTTGGCCAAAGACATGGAACCACTTACCAAAGAAGATGTGGCATTTACCAAGGGCATGGAATCATCCATCGAATCAGATATGTCCATAGTTAAGGATGTGGTACTACCTATGGAAACAGAGGAAACCCCAGCCAACGACAGAACACTATTCAAAGAAACAGAGAGGGCACCGCTTAGAAAAATGGATTTCGCCCCAGCTGAGGGCATGGGATCACTCTCAGAAATGGGGGTGGCACTGGCTAAGGACGTTGTATCGCCCTCAGAGATATCCTCAGCCAAGGAGCTGGCCTTGTCCTCAGAAACAGAAGTGGCCCCAGTCAAGGACATGGCTGCATTCCCAGAAACAGAGGTGGCCCCGGTCAAGGACATGGCTCCATCCCCAGGAACAGAGGTGGCCCCGGTCAAGGACATGGCTCTATCCCCAGGAACAGAGGTGGCCCCGGTCAAGGACATGGCTCCATCCCCAGGAACAGAGGTGGCCCCGGTCAAGGACATGGCTCCATCTCCAGGAACAGAGGTGGCCCCGGTCAAGGACATGGCTCCATCCCCAGCAACAGAGGTGGCCCCGGTCAAGGACATGGCTCCATCCCCAGCAACAGAGGTGGCCCCGGTCAAGGACATGGTTCCATTCCCAGAAACACAGGTGGCCCCGGTCAAGGACGTAGCTCCATCCCCAGAAACAGAGGTGGCCCTGGTCAAGGAAATGGCTTCACCACCCAAAACAGAGATGACCCTGGCTAAGGATGTTGTACCACCCTCAGAAACAGAGGGGTCACCAGTTCCAGTTAAGGACATGGAAGCTGTACGATCACAGGGAGAAGTACGTGAGGATTCCCGGTTAGAATCCCTCCAGAATGAGGGGCATTTGGCTGCACCTACTTCCACGGCTGCACCTACTTCCACCACTTCACCAGGTACGGACTTACATTTACTGTCAGTATTTCTCTCTGCCAGGGTGTAGTCTCCAGAAGGGCAAGGGATAAGCCTCATGCCAGGCAAAGACAAGACAATACTTTGCAAATCTATACACGTTCTACTGCCCCAAACAACCGTTTCTCACCTTCACCCTCCCCCAACGCCTTCTTCATCCTTATCTTTGCTGATCTTATTTTTATTTTAGGTCAATAAGCAGTAAGAGGGGACATTTACAACCTCTCCTACCTTATCTGCCTAACTACTGAGTCTGTATCCAGACTCTGTCTCTTCTGTTACTGGAAGTAAATGTCCCAGTTTCTGATTAAGGCTAGCGCTCTGTGTTATGCTAGGCCTCATCTCTTCTTGCCTACTTAGGCATATTGCCCTCGTTGTTCTCTCCTTTCCTGCTTCTCACCAGTTTTTGCCCCATTACATTGAGTCATTCCCACTAACATACATACATTTCTTTTTTTGTATGTATGTTACAAAAAAGAACAATGTCTTGTTCTTGTTCCCCACCTTAAAAACAAAAGCCCTTCCAACTCCCCCTTCCTACTACCACTGCACGTTTCAGCTGCCCTAAGAGGAGCATCCTTTATTCCTCAACCACTATCCCTGTTTGCAGTTTCTGGAAGGTAGAGAAATAGCTGGATTGTGCTTCTCTGAAACCTGTGTGGTTTTTACTGTTACCTTTAGAACCAGTCACAGCCACGGGCCAAAAGTTCAACTTGCCAACAGATGGGGCATCTGTGTTAGAGAAACTAGAGCAAAAGAAACCATTCAGTAGCCAACCTTCTGAGCTTCCTTCAGAGACCTCAGGTAAGTTAGGAAAATGAAGTGGACTCTCTGGAACCACTGAAACTGGGAGTAATGGGGTTGTGGTGGTAGCCCTAGGTAGCCTATGATTGTCCCTAGTCGTGTGATGGTGATCAGCAGGACCATTTCTGAGGCTAGGTCACTTTTTCAGACAGGTTTTGTCTTGTTTAGACAGAAAGTCAGCCTGATACATACTTTTAAGTGGTCACTATGTCAGCACAGGACCCCTACGTTTTAATACAGGTCAGCTGTTCACTGTTCTGTCCCTTGTCGTCATAAGCAGGTTATTTCACCTTGCTCAGTTTGCTCAGAGGCGTACTGCAGTGTTCTGTAAACCTTGCTCGTGTCAGTGCGTGTCACAGCCCAGCAGCGTCAGCACTGTCTGGGAGCGTGAGAAATACGTGATCTCGGGCTCCACCTCAGACCTTCAGAACCATAATATGCATTTTGACAAGTTTTCCAGATGATTCTTATGTATCATTAAACTTTGAGAGGCACTGCCGTCAGATACTTTCTAATTTAAAGCTCGATTGTTCAATGAACTTAAAAATTACATGTTTTTTATTGTAAGCCAGAACCGTGTGCAGCTTGACCCTATCAGCTTGATTCTCTGCTTCCTGTTCCGTGCCCGATGAGAATGCAAACTAGAGGGCAGGGCCTTGGCTTATTTTACGTACAGTCTCTAGTGCTTCGCATACTGTAGCACTGAGAAGGAGCAGAATAAACGTTTGGATTTTTAAAAAACGTTATTCTAGTGACTCAGCATATCGATAAAGATTTATCTAGTTCTTATTGTGTATGAAATGCACCATGCATAGGTATTTAAGTCCGTGTTCTTGCCCTTGTGTTATTATGTGATAGCCTGGATGGACCTTCTTCAGGAAGTTCCTGGCGTGAACTCTGAAACTAAAGATTTATATAATTGAATTAAATAGTATAACAGATGGCACCAAATAGCTGCTGATTAATTGCTGGATTAAATGTCATGAATGCTATGGGATGGAAAAACCTAGCAATTTTTTTGAGAGAAGCAGTAATAGACCTGAAGTATTAAATGAAGGGTAGGATTTGGAGGACTTTGGAGGGGTAAAGACAAAAACAAAAGGTACTGTTTAAGTATTTTAATATTCCCTGAAGTCATTGCATTGGGTCAGGCTTGATAAGAGCTGTCCTAGACCTGCTCTCAGTGTGCTCTTTCTAGGATCTCAGACCCATGCAGCATTGACTTGGAGACAGGAGGTTGGACCAGTTGACTTCCTGAAGCTTTTCCAAGAGTGTTTATCCCAAGTGTTTTAATTCATTATCCTACTTGGCATCGTATATATTTCTCTGTCTTTGGGAAGTACATTTAGGACCAGAACATTGAAATCTAACACATTTGTCTTTTAAAGTAGGAAGCTCTGGTTCTGGAATGATGAGAATTTTTCTCTGGCCAAAAGATTAATTCAGTATCTTTTTTTCTTTTCCTTTTCTTCTTCTTCTTCTTATTTTTTTAAAGTAGCATAAGTCTGGCCTTTCCCAGAATTGATCTGGTTAGTTTGATAATTAAGTAGTATAATATTGGTGACAGACTCTTAGAATTATAAATTCTGTCCAAGGTCATATCTATTTTATTCAATTAATAAATAAATGTCACAAAAAACAGACAGGAGCTTACCATTTTATTGCAGAATTGAGAATTGTGTAGCTAGTAAAAATAATGACATATAAATAAGTATCAGATGAGCTTTATAGGCAGTAAGTGCTTAACATAGGGATTAGAAAGTCTCTGAATTTTTCTTCAGTTTTAAATATTTTGTAAATATGTTTGAAAAAAGTCTTTACTTGAGGTGGTCATCTTTGTTAAATATTTGCTAGTCCCAGTTAAGGGTGAAGAATGTTTCAGGGGAAAAAACCTTTTTCTAAATGAATTAGTATGTTGAATTGGTGAAAACAGACTACTTAAATGAGTCACTAAATGGACTTTTTTAAAAGAAACAATAACAAGGAGTTTTCTTTTTGGAACCTTGGCCACCCTCATATATTGCAGGTACCCTTCCCACACAAGGCAAACACGTGTGCAGACCCGGTGACCGCAGGGCCACCCGGCCCAGGCCCGCCAGGGTCCCTCCTGAGCTGCTGGGAGGCTCTTCACGGAAGACTCTCGATCCTGGGCTGGGCCCCTGCTCTTTGTCTGAGGCGGGTTGGGTCTCTGGTTCCACTTCCTGTGGTGAGCCTGGGAACCCAAGGAAACCTTTTCATGTTGACTTCCTTGAACCCCAGAGGGATCTTGGCAGGGAGGCCTGGGATGTAGAAAGCACAGCCATGTTGATGAAGAAAAAAAAGAAGAAACCAAAGCAAAAGAGATATTCTCAACCCCGGGCTGGGGAACCTTGGGATGATGATAACTATGCAAAAGAGCCCAGAGGTCATCCCTTTGCAGCCGACCCACAGAAGCCGGGTGTTCTCCCCGGCCTGTCTGCCACTGTGGGCACAGAACATGGACCGGCATCCAGAGAAAGCCTGAAAAAGGGGTGTGAAATTGACTCCAGAACAGCCAGACTGGCAGCGGAGAACTTTGCCTCAGAAAGCCTCAGTGTTGCTTTGTGTCCTTTGGAAGAACCCCCGAAAGCTGCAGTAAGTTCTCAGCTGAGTGGAGAGGCAGAGGTCAAGGGTCACAAGTCAGGCCCACAGAGCCAAGACAGGAAATCTCTGCAGCGAGATGAATGCAAACCACAGACGGCTCCCCAAGCGGAGACCCCTGGGGATAAAGGCCAGACAGTGGGCTCGATGAAACTGAAAGGGCCTCTGGGGCCTCAGACAGTTTCTGCACACAAAGTAGAAATTCCTTCCAACGTCAGACCCCAAGAGGGCTGCTTTCCTGTCTTGGACCAAGAGGTTGTGGGGGAAGTTTTAAAACCTATGGCAGCAAAAGAACTGCCTAATTTGATACCCACTTTGACAACAAGTAACACATTAGAAAGTAGTCTGAAAGAAGGAAATGATGAAAGGAAAATGGCTAAGCTGCAGACTGACAAACAGCAAGAGTTCTCTGCAGGAGCTACAGACGTAAAAGAACTTAACAAGGAAGATTTTCCCAAGCAAAGACAAGAGATGGGCATCTTGGCTTCTGTGCAGCCACAGGACAAGGTGCAGGTTCCCGAGCCAGGGAATGGACCGTTTAAGAGAGTGGCAGGTGATGGCAAAAGCAGGAAGGGAAGGGGGACCTCTGGGAGAGTGAGAGCTAGTTCCGGGAAGGTAAGAGCAAGGGCTGAGCTGCCGGTCCTTCCAGACAGGCAGGAGGACAGCAGCGCTGTCCTTGGGCCCAGTGAGCCAGCACCTAAAACTGAAAGAATGACCGCTGGGGCTAAGAGTGAGGGGCCGGGGCTGGATTTTTCCAGGCAGCCAGGGAGCACGGCTGACCTCCCAGAGGCAGTGGTCATGGGGGATCCCAAGGAGACAACTGACCCTCGTGTGGCCAACACCTCGCAGGCCTTGATTCCTTTGGGAACTGGGTCAGGTGTGACTCAGACTTCCGGTGCTACAGCAGAAAGGGGAGCCTTGGCCATAGATCTGGGTGTCAGTAACCAGAGCAAAGAAGGAAGGTGTCCTTGGGTAGATCATGAGGCAGCTCCCTGGATTTCTGAAAAGCCTAAAAAAAGAAGCAGTGAAGGCAAAAACAAAAAGTTTAAAAATAATTATCCCACACAGCCTGCTAGGGTGGAGAGCAAAGAAGAAACCCTCAGCCCACCTTTTGGAGGGACAGATGGAGGTGCTGGGAGCACTCCCCATCCAAGCCAGGACTTAGGACTCACTTTCCCTGTAAATCATGAACCTTTGTTCTCACAGACATCCAGTAGCCCCACAGTGGAAGTAAATGACCGAAAGGGTAGAAATGTGGAGGTTAGTTCTGTTGAGCTTGGGGCTGTCAGTGGGAACAAAACAAACACAGTCAAGGATTTTGCTGTTAGTGACGCAGCTACCAAAGTGACAGATGTGAGCTACCAAGACCAAACCCAGGGGGCAGGACTTGTTCCTTCAGCACTGCCTGAGGAGCATAAGACAGAGGCAGCCAAGGGGCACAGTGCAGTGGCTGACAAACCAACTAAAAGGAGTAATGATGGAAAAAGTAAAAAGGTTAAAAATAGTTTTCCTGAGAAGCATGATTTGGAGACTAAGACAGATGCAACAAAAAGACATGTTCCCATGGAAGCCACAGGGGACCCCAGAATTGAAGGAATGGGCTATGTGGATGAAAATAGAAATATTACATTTACCTGCCCTGGAACACCACCAGAGGTGATGAATAAGTCAGTCCCTCTAAAGGCTGTGGATTCAGCAGTCTGTGAAAAACTGCCCACTTCCGTCCCTCAGTTAGTAAAGGAAGGTGATTCCTTCCCGGACACCTTGGCAGAAAGTAGGCAGGAGACAGCTCCGGCCCAGATTTCCAAATTATCAGCCGTAGATAATTGCAGCAAAGATGGAGTCTCAGATCAAGGAAGATGCAAGGCTCCCTCCGCCGCTGTGCCCTTTGCAGGCATGGGAGGAGGTGTCTTGGCTTGTACAGCAGCCACAGAAACGGTGAGGAGTGCTGGAGATAACCGTGCTAAGAGTAGCGGTGGGCTTGCTGACCCCATGAAAAAGAAGGCAGGGACAGACCGAGGGCACATGGCAAGAGAGTCAGAGTCAGTGCGCGGCGATGCATCTAAGCCTCTGGTGGAGAAAATCACAGAACTAGCCGAAGGGCTCCCCGCGGAGCGCCTACCAGGTGAGCTCAGAGGCCCAGACGTGTGTGCAGATAGGAGTGATTTTCCCACGTATCCAGTAAATGAAAAGAAAGAGTCTAAGGAAGGTTCTGCTTCAGCTGATAGTCCTGACTTACTGGGAGACAAATCACAAAAGCCCCATTTCTGGGAGGACCAAAATGCTGACAGTAGACAGCCTAGGGGCCCACCCGATTTGAGTAAGGAGGTGGATGTGACTCTTCCGCCTCCAAAAAGTGAAAAGGAGAAATTGGAAGGACTCAGCCTGGCTTCTAAAGTCACAGAAGTAGACGTTTCCTTGCCAACACCAGAACTCCAGGCAGATTTCTCAGATGGCCCAGTTGGAGCTACCCCCTCAAGGGGAATGGATAAGTTGGCAGTGACTGCTTCCACGGGTCTTCAACTCCCAGAACCCGACAATAAGATCTTGGAGGCACCTGAGAAAGTGACAGAAAAACCTGAATCAAAGGCCCTGGCAGAGGGGAAGAAGGAAGAAAAAAGAGTGGCAGAACCGATGAAAGGTTACATGAGACCCACCAAGTCCCGAGGACTTCCTCCACTTTTGCCGAAATCCACAGGACAGGAACGAGAGAGAGCCAAGCAAGCCAAGTCCAGCGGTATGAACCTGCCTTGGGATGGTGTGTGTGCTTGTGGCTTTTGAGTCCACGTCTGAGAGGCAAAGAGCTTGTGCTTTGGTTCCATCCAGACTCTAATCATCTTTGTTAATCAGTGATTTGTTGGCATGAAAAACATGTAACTGCTAATTATGTGTTTTCTGCAGCCAAGGCATGTCTTGTGTCCAGCACGAGGAGGCTGGTGACTTGGTTGCATGCCTTTTTACCCAGCAGGGAACCCTGAGTTTTAGGCGAAGTTGAATTTCAAACAATGGATTGTTTAGCAGAAGGCCTATCACCAGCTACTACCCTTAATTTTTTTAAAAAGTGTGCCTTTCATGTGTAAAGTTTACAGCCACATTTTAATCAATATTTTGTATAAGGAGAAGAGAGCATTCACATCCAGGCGTGTGTGGAGGAATTTATTTGTTAGTATTTACAGGGGTGGAAAGAAGTAGGTTTACAGTTGTGAGTATGCAAAACAGAGTTTATTGTTGTCTTATTATTAATTATTGGGTTATTGTGTAATTATTGTATTGACTGTAAACCTACGCTCGCCCACCCCTGCGTGTGTGTCTTGTGCTGGCAGGGGTAAATACCCAGTTTCCGGGTTAGGGTGCAACGCTCTGCTTTCATGGGGAGGTGGCGGCCTCTGGCCGGCATCAGTAGGCGCAGGCTTCATGTGTGTTTCTCGTGGCGGCAAGTGGCCCCTCAGTGATGCAGCCACGGCACTCACCAGGTTTGTGGCTTGCAACCGTCGGCCCACACTCGCCGGTGGGGCCGAGCTTTGGGCGTAGCCTGTGTCCACCAAACTGCCTAATCCACAGGCATGTCTGTGAAACTTGCCCGTGTGGAATTTCTCATAATTTTGCCATTTGGGACTCTAATCAATCAGGTAGTTGGAAGGAGATTAAGAAAGATGACTCCTTAAAGATTTAGCAATGTTAGCCTTTTCTTTTCTTGATAAAATCCTCACTTTCCTGAGCCTAACCTTTCAAAAATGGTTCCTGGCCTTTGAGGTTTTCCACAGCCTACAAATAATACTATTTCTTAATCACTGTTTCCCAGCTTGCATGATACATCTACTAACTCCAGAAATTAAGAATGAAACAAAAAAAAATAACACCAGTCGGCCTTGGTGGCCAGTTAGGCCCTTGGAGGGGCCTGGTCGTGGGGCGGCGCTCTGCATGATGTGGACTTGTTGTTTGGGTAAAGCTTGTGCTCTGCATGAATTTGTACCCAGTGCGGAACACATGCTGTGTGAATAGAGAATGCTGAAGGTTGTTATTTGCATAAGATATTTTCATCTTTTCCGTTTTTATCTTCCTTCTATTAGCTACCTTGTTGCCAAGGCAGAAAATGAAGTCGAACATAGGGAGCTTTCCAGCTTCCCTAAGATTTCCAGCGTTCTATCCAGTTCTTTAACTTCAGTTTATAGATATTTCTTTCATTTCAGCAGTGATAGACGGTAACATGTAAACTTCCTGAAACCTAGCCATTTCTTTTTGCTCATTATCTTCCAACAACTGCAGAGAGACTTGTTCCGATTCTTGAGGAAACATGGCAGATGCTGTTTTCCTCTCCAGAGACAACCAGTGTTCACAGTGTCTTATACATCCTCCCAGATAATTTAATGCACAAGGAAGCAATGACATAGATATTTCCTGATTGTATGTAAACAAGACATATCACACATACTGCTGTGTGGCATAGCTATTTCCTGATTTTATATAAATGAGACATGTCACACATACTGCTGTGTGCCTTGCTTTGTAAACTTACTTTAGAGAGCCTTTCAAATCAGTGCAGAGAAACGGGCCTTACTCTTTTTAATGGCTGTATAGTATTTCATCGTAAGGATATACCCTAATGTCTTTTACCACTTCTCTATTGGTGGGCATACAGGTGTCTTCTAATTTTTCTCATTCAGAGACAGCGTGCACGAGCCACACTTGCGCACGCAGAATGCCACCGCCGGGCGCGGGTAACGAAAGGGGCTCTGGGGTAGGCTCTCAGGGCTGAGGAATGGGTGTTCGTAGTTCTGATAGGTGTTGCCATCCGGTTCCCCACGGGGCCCTCAGAGCCACTCCCACCTCAGCTCAGACTGGTCCGCACCTGTGCCCCTGCTCTTTCTCCACTGGGGTGGCTTTTCTTTTTAGTTTTGTGGGCCAACGTAATTGGTAAAAAAATTATTTCTTGGCATAGATTTTGTGTTTTACTTACTTTATGACTTCCTTTTATATTATCAGGTTGATAAAAGCCATCCCTGTTGTTTGTAAAAATATTTTCTCTTTAATTTTTAATGTCTACTAGGTCTTAAAACCCTTTTATTCTTTTTCAGAGTTTTCCTGGCTCTCCTTGCTTGTTTATTATTACATATAAAGTTGAGAATTGGCACTTACAATTTTGAGGGGGGGGAAATCCAGTCTTTTTTTGAAATCATATTAAATGTATAGATAACCCCAAGGAGAGTTGATGTCTTCTGTGTTTTCTGTCTGCCAGCATACCGTGCCATGTTCAGCGGTATCACATGTTCAGGTTGATGTGTCCTAGTCCCTCACTGGTATTCTGATGTTTTCTTCAGCCACATCTTGTGCACTTCTAGCGAGGCTCTTTCCACGATGTCCAGGAGGCAGGGGGCTGGGCGGGGCAGAGCGTCAGGCGAGCTGGCGCTGTGAGGCAGGGGACTGAGTGGACTGCGAAGTGTCTAGATTTGGGGTAGGGGACTGGGTAGGGTGACCCCTTACGCTGGTTCCTTTGGGCTCTGACATTTTGCCCTGACTGGCTCCAGCCTGGCCTTGTTAAATTTTGTCTTTGTTCCCTGCTTCAAGTCTTGACTGCCCTGACCCCAGGTTGCCAGTGATGCTCACGTAGGTGGTTTCCGTTTTCCCTCTGGTCTGATGGTGTGAGCCACGGTTTTCAGTGTTCAGACAGTAAAGATTTTAGTGTTGTTAATAAAAATAATAGCAACTACCACCTCCTGCTTGAAGATCTAGGTAGGTAGAGAGAGAGAGAGACACACACACACACACACACACACCCCCAAACCCCCCCCCCACGGTAACAGACACGCAGACACACACCCCCACCCCTCACCCCCAGTATTGTGAAGGATTCTCTCCATTTGCAGGTAAGGAAATGGAGGCTATCCCCGTTAGGTTAGTGCAGACAGTGAGGTAGCAGAAGTCAAATTTAAACCCTGCTTTCCTCATTCTTGCCTTAGAGGAATGTTTGAGACGTTTTAGTTTCTTGAAAAGAAAAAGATGAAAGTTGGCAATCAGTAATTTTATTTCTTTATTTTAATATCTAAGCACTAACTACAGCACTTTTCTAGTTGGAAAAATGGAGGCACATCATGAGAACATACGTTGTGAATCAGAAGCCATTTTGGGATTAGGATCTAGGCCTTTTGACTCTTGGCTAACATCTTACACTCCAGGCAGAGACTGACGTATTCATGTGTTCTTAGTACCCAGCACGGAGCGCTCTACTTATGTGATGACTAGTGACACTGTTTGGATTGCAAGCGAACCACCTTTGCTAGTCCTGTCCCCTTTGGAAGCAGGGAAAGTGAGAATACTGCAAAAGGCTCTTCCAGCTTAATGTTTCCTCTCTCATTTGCTCATGTCACTCTCAAGTTTGGGGAAACTTTAGCGGAAGGTTTCTTCACTTACTATCCATATTGTTCTAAGCAGGGAGTATTGAGATACTTTGGAAAATTTGAGCTCAACTTGTCAGAAAAGGATTTCTCATGGGAGTGTGTTTTTTGTGAAGCTTGGAGGGGCGATCTCTAGTGTCCCTAGTGTATGCTGCTGCTCCCCTGGGCGCCAAGGAGGACTGGGAGTGGCCGCGCACTTGTCACGTTGTAGGCCGAGGGGGACAATTTCGGGTCCCTGTGGATGGGCCCTTCCCTCTGCCGCGGTGACAGCCTGGTCTCCTTTTTTTCTGGCTTCATTTCTTTTTCTACAGTTTGCTTGAGCCTGTCTTACATCAGCTGGGAATGTGAGTTTATAGTGGGAAGTGCTCTTGGTGTGAAACTTGAAGTAATTTATAAAGCCCAAATCCTAACAGTTTCAAGGCCCTTGTACATAAATAAAATATGTGCAGCGGATGAAAAAAACGATTGGTAATTTTAGAACTTGCTACAATTTTACAACTGGAGAAGTGCCCATTCAGTAATGTCTTTTCTTAACAGTAGTGCCACTTGTGAAGTTCCTTTCGTTATTGCCTCCTTCCCACTTAATCTCTCATTCTCTGGCTTGTTTTGTCTTACTGGCTGTATGTATATTAATGAAATTTATTGAGAGTTCCATGTATCATAAACTAAAAAGAAACTTATTAATGCTCAGCACTGTCTTAAATTCTTATCACCCTCAAACAGTCCTGTGCTCCTATTCACCTTATTTCAATAAGAGCATCTACATATTCTTTGAAATAAGTCCAGCAAATACTGGTTATTCTACTTTAAAAAAAGTTCTCCTCACGTTCCCTCCCCCCTCACTTTTACCCTCTAGCTGACAAGTAGCATTGGAGGATTCAGAAAACCAATGACAAACAGCTTCTGACTTGGGATACTGAAAAGACATTTGTATTCACTTCCTTAAAGGCGAGCAGGGCGCCCTGGGGTAAGGTGAGCAGGCTCGCCGAAGCCGGGTGGGAGGACTGTGACGGGTGTGTGTCAGGTTTTCTTGATAGAGGGAGTTTTCCATAAATGACTTGTCTTAGATTTGTGACGTGAGCCAGGCCACTATTGTGGCCTCCATTTTTATGGGTCCCAGTGTGTGAATTATCTTGATTAAGGCTCACATAAATCACATTACTAGCTTCAGTTTTTTCATTTTGTCTGCGTCCCAACTCTCTCATCAGGGAGAATCAGGATTTTCTTGATTCTGTTGTACCAAGAAATGTTTCTAAAATTTAGTTAGAACATGGTGTTGAAGTGTTTTGCACGCATATTTGAATATATAAACACAAACACCATTTACTTCCAGGGAAGTAACTAG